GAAAAGAAAACACTACTAGATATCTATAAAAAAGTTGAATTATTCAAGAAGGTTAAAATAGAGAACTCTTTAGTAGGAACATTTAATTTATTGAATTAAAAAACTTTATTTTAAATATGAAAACAAAATTCCTAATAAAAAAGAAATGATTGATTTCACATTGACTAATCTTTGACTATATATAAGCTCCGCGTTGTTCGCTTAAAATTAATTCTGATCAGTTAGGTGCCTCAACCCATGCCTCAATGTACTACAACCGCAAAGGATTAAATTAATATGCGTATTTTGTGCTTCAAATTCAGATGGCAACATTAATGCTAAATGTGGCACACTAATGCAGACTAATATGACTACTTTGCCGAAAGTACTGCTAAAAGAAATACATATGAATATGTGGGACCTCCTTGGCAGATTTTGCACAATCGTTTCTTCAAAAGCTGGCTTTACGCCACGAAAATAATAATAGCATAACCCGCTTCGACTTAAGTATCGAGAGACTGACCAACCGGTGTCACATGACTTTATAGACGTATGTAAGTGTCTCGGTGGTCACATTTTACAATATTTTAAAGCGTAAAAGTATATAAATTTCGAATCTCTTGTATCGATACGATATTTTATAATATTTCAAAGCGTAAAAGTATATAAGTTTCGAATCTCTTGTATCGATACGAATAATTAATAATTAATAATTTTTAAAAAATTAATAATCTCATACACATATTTATATGATAATTACCAAAAATTAATTAATTACTGAATAATTAATTCCCTGCTGACAATTTCCGAATAATCAATTAACAATTAATTATTTAAAAATGGAATTTTTTATTTCCTCTTTTAAAATAATTTATCTTTTTATATAAAATCATTTTATATAAAATTTTATATAAAATCCTAACTAATTCGATTTAAAAGCCTCTTAAGTATGCCCTTTCAATAAATGTCTCCCACAAATAAAAAATATACTAAAGTTGCAGTTCTTTATACTTGCAGCTTTGATCGTAATTTATCTCTGTCACCTATAGCTTTATACATATATACATACATATTAGAGGGTTGCATTAATTCGTGCTACTTAGTTACTTGGAATACTTATTATTTTCATAATATGTTACAGTCAGACATCATTCCAAGTAATTGCCATTGCTTTCGACTACTTTTTGCTATTTTTCTGATAAAAGCTGGATCTCTCGTCGAAAGAAATATTTGTCTGTTGAGGCGACCCAATCATCGACCCATTTTCGGAGTTCCTCAAGGTTGGCGAAGTGCGTGTCTTCCAAGACGTATTGTATAGAGGAGCGGAACAGGTGAAAATCGAAAGGAGCGAGAAAATAATCGATCGAGGAAATAATCTGCTGTTGAATGCAGGAGAACTTCCCATTCCAAGCCAATCAGTGTTTCGTTAACCGTTCTTGCCACGTGTAGTCTAATGTTGTCATATTGGAAGATCACTTTCCGCCTATTACTGACGGCCTTTTTTGCATCAATTCGTCGTTCAGTCGCTCCAGTTAGCGTTGATAAAGTATGGCATTAACCGCTTCATTGGAATTCAGAAGCTCATGATACCATGCCTTCCATATCCCACCAAATACATAGCATTATCTTCTTTCCGTGAAAATTCTGTTTTAATATTGATGTTAAATGTTAACCGGAGTCCACCCACAACTTCCTCCGTTACAAAAAGCTCTTCTTATGTTTAGCAAGCAAGAAAATGCAAATATTCAAGCGATTTAACTTTGAGCTTTCTGATAATTGATGAACTCATTTTTCTTCCTTGCGGATTTTTCCTAAGACATGTAGCCGCTTCGAAACGGTTCGAACGATCGACTCCGAGGGCTTCTGACAATTCTTTGAGCGTTTGTGCTGGATTTTTATCCAATAACTCCTGCAGTTCCTCGTCGTCAAATTTTTTCGATTACTTTCAGCTAAATCTCAGGATCAAAGTCATCGGATTTGCATCTTTTAAATTATATAATTATCAAATTTTTTACTTATTTTGATCCGTTATATCCACACACGAACTGTATATTGTGTATATTTACTGTATATTGTGATGAGCATTATGTATATATACAGGATGTTTAAAAAATAAAATATTTGAAGGAAATTTATAATATGGTCCAAAATAAGTCGGAAAGTTTTTATATCATAGGTCTCCAAATGAGTCGTTTTTAAGATATTTTCATTTTTTTAGCTATTTCACGTTTATTTTTATTAAAAATTAAAGTTAATTTTATTTATAATTTATACAAAAACATAACAGTTGATGTTCTGCCTTACCTTATTAGAGATGTTCAAAATAACCTCCTGTCATGTTTATGCAGACCTTACATCTGCCCAAAAAACAATTTCATGCTCTTCATGCTTTCATATTCAAATATATTTAGATTCATTCTAATTGTAACATAAACTTCTTGTACGCGATATTGTAATAGTTCTAAGTTATTGGTTGGCTCTGCATACATCAGACTTTTTTAATTAACCCAAATAAAAGAAAATCTAATAAGATCTCAAATCGGGAGATCTAGAAGGCCATCGGGCTTGCACGTTCTACCCATGTTTTTTGGTATGTTTAATTAAGATACGAAAATAACTCGACTTATTAGAAATAACAGTTAATGAAAAGGATGGAAGAACATACCATCATGTATGAACTAAAATGCAGTTCTAAAGTTCAGTGGGATATTTTCGAGTAACAGAAACAATATGTTTGTTAAAAAATTCTGGTGCGCTAAATCAGTTAACCAACTTGGCAGAACAACCAGACCTATGAACTTGTCTCCGAAAATATTTAACCAAACATTTAGGCTAAAACACAGTTGATACCTGTATTCAACGACAACATGTATTTTCGTCGGCCTATTGATTGATATTACGAAAATTAAAAATTTTATCTCTAGAAGGAGTAAGTCCAGCCTTGTCGGTAAAAAAATATTAGCAATAAAATTCATATTTTTAGCTTGTTCCTTCGAAATTCATCTGCAAAAATCTAGCCACGACAATCAAATAAATTTAACCGTGAATCTACCTGCTTGAACCAGTTGAATGTGATAAGAATGGAGCAGCTACTGTTGTTTGAGTGTTCTCCTAACTAAACGACAGCCGTCTACCTGGGCTAATAACTACCTAAATTATAATCCTTTTTACATTAGTTCTAGGATTTTTTATACTATATTACTCAAATTTCTTTCTCTACTTCAGATATAGAAACAGAGCTGAGTCTTCCATTGTTTTTATCAAACAGCAATGTTCTAATGCCTTTTATGAAGTTTTGTAAACATTCGATTTGAAGGAATTTTATGATTTGAAAAATTGTAAACATACAGACAACGCGCATCTAGGGCATCGAACATTACTGCTAGCCCGATCATACATAAAATATATATATTTACCATTTCTGCATTAGCGTTAAAAATTATAATTATTGACATTCGTATTTATTGAAATTTTTAACATTACATTTGCAAGTAAAATTTATATTAATTATATTATTTATCTTTGATTGCAAGGATATGGAAAAAAACGTAAAGGATATGGAACAAACGTACGCATAATGACAAGACAGTTTTGTTTTCTTACTTATGTTTAATCATTAAAAAAAATGAAATAAGTTAATAACCAATTTTCTTACATTGTAGGTAAGTTAGTTAACCACAATCATATGAATCGTGAACGCAACTGATTTTACAATACAATACTTTGCTAATGCAATTCTTTGTTAATACAATTCTTTGCTAATGAGTACTGCTATCGAACGAATGGACTTACTGCTGAAATGCGGCAAGACATTCAAAACAAATGTATCCGTCAAGCTTCTAAAATATTACAACCAAACATTTATAATTATTTCGGATGTTATTATAACCAAACGTTTATAATTATTTCGGATGTTATTACAAACAAACGTTCACCTTGAGACATGTTTATTGTTGCCAAGCTGATTCGTTGCTATGATTGTTGGATCATTGCTCCGTGAAGAAATATTTACGCAAATATTTCGATTCTCTATGAGTCGACAAATTTATTTTTTGCAAACTTTAATGTAGCATTTCGAACATATTCAATAAAAATTTCAATTTTTTTGTGACAGAAAGATATCATAAAATAAATAAAACAAGCAACAAATAAAACTGCAAATATCTTATGAACGAATTACTTGCGGACTGATGTTTATTATTATTATTAAAACTTTTTAGCTTATTCGGGGCCATATTAAATCCTTTTAAAATATTTTATTCTTTTTTTAACATATTTTTCCTGTAATGCATGAGACACATATACACACACACATAAGCAATGTAGCAATTGTAGTACTAATATTTAGCATTAATAAACTTTAATACGAGAATATATATATATATATATATGAGAGTATATTAACAAATATGTTATTACGACAAATTAATTTTTCCTCGTACATATTTGTATACATTCATCATACACATCATCACTCAGCTGATATTTAGTAAATAATTATGTCAAATGAGAGATATTTCTTGCCGATAAAAATGTATTTGCGAAACACGAATACGATAAAAACTAATATCTGCTGTAACTGATAAGTTGATGTCTTTCTCCAGCTTATTATCAAATAACATCTCATTCATCGATGAATTTTCGCTTATCGTATGCATTTAAGACTAAAGAAAACTCCAAAATGATGAATAGCGAAACGTTTCGCACGAGAGATTTTGATGAGTTCCCACGCGCATAAGCCCCTCCTTTCCTTTTCCCACCTAACTGCTAATTTTAACTAAATGACTCATCGACTGTGTCGACGTTACGTATAATGAGTAGTCAACAATACTTTTAATTTGCCGCGACGAGCACCGACAGTCGTCGTCTTTTTTTGCACAATGATAAAATAGAAAATCTCCAAGCTTTGTATTTATCTCACGACGATGTTCTCTTTTTCTCACGACAAGTAAGTGTCGAATACTATTTACACGGTCGATAATACCGTGAAGATCGTAAGAATGTTTCATATGTATCTTCAGATCAGCTACCAGCAGAAACTGTGGATCATGGGGACGAATGCTACCGCCTACACACGCTATTATGAAGAATATTCAACAAAGGGAGATCCACGAAGTTTCGGGAGATGTGATACCTATAAATATGGTAAAGGGCATCGGACATCTTAGGGATCCTCGCCTTAATAAGGTATCGCTGTTTCTCTCTTCGTCTCTTCGTCATAATGATGAATATGCATTATTCTAAAAAAAAAAAAGTATCAAAATTTAAAAAGTAGAGCGATTTCTTGAAAAGATACAATACTAAAATCCAAATACCCAGATTATTTCCTAAAGTACAATTTTATTAAAATGTTGGTATGTCTCGTTGTACATGCCTGTATAGTGTATTTATCTGAGTACATGGAAAAAAATATAATAAAAATTATAATAAAATATTTATAATGGACTATATGAAAATTATAATCGAAATTATATATTTATTAAAAAAATATACATTTTTAATTTTTATTACAAAATTATAATTATATGACTGTTTTGTTATATAATATAAAATAATGAAATTTTATTATTTTGAAGAAGAAATTTCGCAATTTTTGTGCAACCGTACTTAATAGTACGTTCTACTATTTTTATACTATATTTATAACGAAAATTACGATATAAATATAGCCAGTTTTTAAATGTAACTCATTGAAATACAAGTAGTTTATACTTGTATATAACTTTCAATATGTCCATAGTACACAATATAAAGTACACGTATCAAAAATGGTAATACTCCTATATAATAATCCTAATATAACCATAATATTTATAATAGTTGAGAATATAGCGTCGCTTATCGCTTATTTTCTCTTTTTCGCTTTCATATTCCTTTCTCGAAGTCAAATGTCGATCGTTATATATAGGGTGTCCCATTTTAATTTTAACATTAAAAAATCTTGAAAACTATAAAAGATATTAAAAAAAGCTAAAACACGTTTTCCATAATTTCGAAAGGGAAAGAGAATGGCATTATCAGTTTTTTATTTGGAAAGCATTTTCAAGGTCAATTGAAGGTCAACTTAATTTTTAAAATAGGAAGCCTAACTTTTGATTATATCTTTTTCTACCAATTAATTTGAACAACTTTTGTCTGAAACATTTTTTTATTTGCCTAATATTTTTTAAAATATTTAAGGAAAACTTGGTAACTTTTTCAACATTTAACTTACGATATCTCACTAACTATTCGTCGAAAGAAAAAATAGTATTAGACTTTTTTACTTTATTTACTATCAAGAATATATTACTATAATAGCGCTATAACAGCTATAATAGCTGACTTTTGTTAATTTAATAATTTTGAAATTTCCAAAGATCGATAAGTTAACAAAAGTTAGGGCACTATTATAGTAATATTTATATATATTATATTATACAGGGTGCACGATTTATCTGAAGACATTGAAATATCTCGAGAACTATGCATTGGATAAAAAAAAGTGGTTAATGAAAGTTGTTAGTCTCGAAGGGGAACATCCAATGATACCAAACTCGACCTCCCACCCTACCCCCTGGGAGTGAGGGTTGGGGGCAACTTTGAAATCTTAAATGGAAACCCCCATTTTTTATTGCAGATTACGGATTCTACGCTACAAAATACGTAAATTTTGTCCGAAACTTTTTTTTTATTCGTGATAGATGGCGCTGTAATCGCAAGAAATTATATTTTCCGCAATTCTCCAGAAATGATCATTGGATTGAGAAATAAAAAATACCTGTTCAATATTTTTAAAGAACATAATAAAAGTTATTCCCCCCCCATCCTCTCGGGGTAGGGTGGGTGATAACGTTCAAATCTCAAATGGGGACCCACATTTTTCATTGCAGAATTAGATTGTACGTGAAATTTTTATTGAAACAATTTTTTTCATTCGTGATAGATAGCGTTGAATTTTTCCGAGAAACTACTTTTAGCGTTACACAGGATCAACGACGAGGACGTAGTAGTTTTATGTTCCCTTCGAGTACTTTTTTAATGTGAGTCCCCTTGCCTCTCACTGTTCAATTAATTAGAGTAAGTGTTCGAAATTTTTACCTTCAACTTCAATACATTTATTGATCCTTTTTTCAAATGACATGTACACAGGATAGAAGCATATCTGCGGGAGTTTCAGCGCAAGCGTTTCTTATGCGTTCTACCATGTTTTCACGAGTTGTTGGCACTTGTTGATAAACCTTATCTTTTAGGTTAGGTTGATAAACCTTATCTTTTTAATAACTTTTATTATGTTCTTTAAAAATATTGAACAGGTATTTTTTATTTCGCAATCCAATGATCATTTCTGGAGAATTGCGGAAAAAATAATTTTTGCGATTATAGTGCCATCTATCACGAATAAAAAAAAAAGTTTCGGACAAAATTTACGTACTTTATGGCGTAGAATTCGTATCTGCAATAAAAAATGGGGGTTTCTATTTAAGATTTCAAAGTTGCCCCCAACCCCTACCCCCAGGGGGTGGGGTGGGAGGTCGAGTTTGGTATCATTGAATGTCCCCCTTCGAGACTAACAACTTTCATTAACCACTTTTTTTTATCCAATGCATAGTTCTCGAGATATTTCAATGTCTTCAGATAAATCGTGCACTCTGTATATTATAGTAAATTAATATTGTTGATAACGAAAAAGTAAAAAAGTCTAAGACTATTTTTTCTTTCGACAAATAGTTAATGAGATATCGTAAGTTAAATGTTGAAAAAGTTACCAAGTTTTCCTTAAATATTTCAAAAAATATTAGGCAAATAAAGAAATGTTTCAGACAAAAGTTGTTCAAATTAATTGGTAGAAAAAGAAGATATAATCAAAAGTTGGGCTTTCTATTTTAAAAAATTAAGTTGACCATCAACTGACCTTGAAAATGTCCTCCAAATAAAAAACTGATAATGCTATTCTTTTTCCTGTCCGAAATCATGGAAAACGTGTTTTAGCTTTTTTTACTATCTTTCATAGTTTTCGAGATTTTTTAATGCGAACGTTAAAATGGGACACTCTGTATAAATAGTACGCACAATCCGAGAAATCGATAAAATAATTACCTATCTTTACGAGACACAAATATAGATCCCTAACACCAAGGACAGAGAATCCTGCGTCTTTTTCATCCATACTAGAACGTTTACTAGGATGGTTTTAACAAAAATTGATTACTCGTTCATGATTTACTCAATAAAAATATATTATTAATTAGTTTATAGCTTATTATGCAGTTGAATTATTATATACCTTTCTGAAATACGACTTTACAAAATATATCGTAAAAAGAAATATAATTTTAATTTTTACTACAAGGTTTTCGTCGTGTACAGTCAAAGTGTAGTCGAATGGGTAACTGTTAATACATCTATATGTACTGTTTTTAAAGTATAATAACTTTTTAGAACAGTTGTATATTTCAGAAAAATTGTATTTCGGAATATTATCTATCCGGTATTCGGATATGATTTTTCAGAAAATTGTTTAAATTCCAAGATTTCGATTTTTCGAGACAATGCATCTAATCCATTGTCAAAATATATCTTCAACACGATAGATATAATCATAACATAAATAATAATAACAGGGCTTGGCGTTTACTCTGAAAGAGAGAATAGCTCTAGGAATACATGGACTGCAGCCTCCTAGATTTAAAACGCAGGAGGAACAATTAGCATTATGCAAAGCTTCAGTTATGAAATATACGGAAGACCTGAACCGATATCTGTATCTGGTGGAACTTCAAGTAAATAACAGCCTATATTACAACGTGCACGTTTGAAACAGTGTTTAACTTCTACAGCATTATTTTCAGGAGAGAAATGAGAGGCTGTTTTTCCGTCTGCTAAGCGAGAATATCGAGCAGATGATGCCAATCGTTTATACACCTACTGTTGGGCTTGCTTGTCAAAAATTCGGTGTAATTTACCGTAGGCCGCGTGGACTTTTCATTACTATATATGATAAGGGTCATATCTACGAGGTTTTGAATAATTGGTTAGTATTAGGAACAAAAAACAGCACCACAGTTAAATATATTTCATATTACTATCAGAATATTACTTATAACACCATTACTATTTAGAGTTTTTTTTTCAATAAGAATTTGATGTTTCTTTTTTTCATTAATAATGATAATGGTAACACAATTACATTTTTTGGACAACGGTAATGAATATAATCATTACTTTGCAAATGTAGAATATACAGGTTGTATAAAAAATACCGGGACGGTGAAATATCATAAAAACTAAGTATTTTAGAAAAAAATGTTTTAAATAAAAATTGTAGGGTTTCGAAAGACCTATTTACTGACATTATGAGTTTGACCTTGGGTGGCGTCGCCAAGGTCAAACTTATAATGTCAGGACAAGGGTCAGGACAACAGGTCAGGACAAAGTTACCTTAAATTTTTTAAATGAGACCCCCTATTTTTTATTACATATTTTTGTAGCCCTTCTTCAGACCTTTTTAAAACACTATAATTTTTTCCACTTTGAGAAAGCCGAAGTTATCGAGCTTTTTATGATAAAATGTCCAGCCAGCGACTGGAACAATTTCGTAACTTGTATTTCAGACACATGTAATATTAAAGTAATATTAATGTACTAAATTTATAACAGCACTAAAATTCAACTTTGAATCATTTCAAATAAATTACAATGAATTTGACTTGAAGTAGAACATATTACTTGTATATGATACGCACTTTTCATACGGAAAAGATAAATGATTTTTTTTACTGATTTTTCTTTCTTTAATTGAATTATCGATTTTGTTATCTAATTAATACAAATTTCTGTTTATTGGATAAATCTTTTTGTTTCCTACCTTATTCGTTAGACTTTACTTTTTCTTTTAGAGATTAACATTATTCTCAAACGCTTTTGTAAGAAGATGCTGTTTCAGGCTTTTATCATCGATTAGCGCATTGTCAAACAATGAATGGTGAACAATTTGAGCATTTGATACATTAATCGCGCTTTCAATTAGTTTCACTAGTTTTTCTTTATGATCATCTTGCCTTTGCTGGTTGGATACTTCTTTGATCTTGCCTTGGCTGACTGGATACCTCTTTAATCTTGCCTTGGCTGGCTGGATACTTCTTTGATCTTGCCTTGGTTGACTGGACATCTTGTCATAAAAAGCTCGATAACTTCGAAACGACTTACTTAAAGTAGAAAAAATTATAATGCTTTAAAAAGGCTTGAAGAACGGCTACAAGAATATGCAATTAAAAATAGGTGGTCCCATTTAAAAAATTCAAGGTGACCTTGTCCTGACCTTGGCGACGCCACTCAGGGTCAAACTCATAATGTCAGTAAATTGATCGTTTGGACCCCTACAATTTTTATTTGAAACATTTGTTTTAATATATTTTTATATTTAACAATAATGAAAAGATAATTATTTTATATATTTGCTCGCATAACAAAATAAATGTAAAATACTTGACTCTCATAGTATTTTCATATACAGGGTGTTTACGACCACCCGTCCACTCAAATTTTTTGAAATCACGATATTTTAGGGAAAAATGTTTCAGACCAATGTTGTATGGTTTAAAGGAAAACGTAAAACAACTATATCAGTTTGTTTACAGATAGTGCCACTTTCGAGGTATTCACTGATCATTACTTTTCTTAAATGGAAACTCCAATTTTTTATTATATCACTTTTTTCTACCAATTAATTTGAACAACTTTTGTCTGAAACATTTTTTTATTTGCCTAATATTTTTTGAGATATTTATAGAAACTTGGTAACTTTTTCAATATTTAACTTATGATATCTCGTTCACTGTTTGTCGGAAGAAAAAATAGTATACTTTTTTACTCTATTTGATCTCAAAAATATATTCTTACAATAGTGCCTTAACTTTTGTTAACTTATCAACTTTTGGAAATTTCAAAATCATCAAATTAACAAAAGTCAGGGCGGTATTATAACAATATATTCTTGAGACCAAATAAAGTGAAAAAGTCTAGTACTATTTTTTCTTCCGACAAATAGTTAGGGCGATATTGTAAGTTAAATATTGAAAAAGTTACAAAGTTTCCTATAAATGTCTCAAAAAATATTAGGCAAATAAGAAAATGTTTCAGACAAAAGTTGTTCAAATTAATTGGTAGAAAAAAATGATATAATAAAAAATTGGAGTTTCCATTTAAGAAAAGTAATGATCAGTGAATACCTCGAAAGTGGCACTATCTGTAGACAAACTGATATAGTTGTTTTACGTTCCTCTTTAAACCATACAACTTTTGTCTGAAACATTTTTCTCTAAAATGTCGCGATTTCAAAAAAATTTGGGTGGTCGTAAACACTCTGTATAAGTCATAAGAAGATAAAAGAATTTTTCTCATATGTTTTAATAATATATCACATTTTATTTTCCATGTTGGAAAGTATGCCAGCTGAATTAAATATTAATTAGCTTAATCAAAATTTGAGAGTCACTTTGAATTTACCTCTATAAGTTTTCCTTACTCACATATCAATTTTCTCTTATCGAAAAATAGCAGTCATGAAAAAAGAAAGTTTTAGTTGGGAACGGATTACACATGTATCACACGTAGAAATTAAACAGGATATGAACGGTTTACGCGCAGTTGCATCCGCTAAAAATAGTATTCTCCACACGACGTAACATGCATGCGTTATGTTTCATTGCGTTACACCGCTAGCTGAGAAGAATGACGATTCTACAGCATAATATAACATATTCTCTATTATATTTCTAGGCCAGAACAAGCAGTGCGAGCTATTTGTGTAACAGATGGCGAACGAATTTTGGGTCTTGGTGATCTTGGTGCTTGCGGTATGGGTATTCCTGTCGGAAAATTAGCACTTTATACAGCTCTAGCTGGCATTAAACCACATCAATGTCTCCCGATTACCATTGACGTAGGCACTAATAATGAACAGTTGAGAAACGATCCTCATTATATTGGTCTTAACAAACCGAGAACTCAAGGTCCCGAATACGATGAATTGATCGATGAATTTATGGCAGCTTGCGTAAAAAAGTACGGGCAAAACGTTCTTATTCAAGTAAGCTAACATATAATTACCGTATACATAGATCTTTTAGATATATGTATAAGATGTGTTACATTATGCGAAATCTTATCCCGCGAAACCATTTGCAGTACATACACTATGGTATCTCATGTGTATTTTGCGTGTGTTCCAGTTCGAAGATTTCGGGAATCATAATGCTTTTCGTTTCTTAGACAAATACCGAAATAAATATTGCACGTTCAATGATGACATCCAAGGTACAGCCGCGGTTGCAGTGGCTGGAATTTTAGCATCAAAGAGAATAACTAAGAAAAGGATGTCGGATAATAAGTTTGTCTTCCTGGGTGCTGGAGAGGTATGTAAGATTCTTGATACGAGTTCATATGAGATATTGTAAAACTTCGACAGAAAATACTTATATACAATTATATATTGGGTTGGCAAATAGGTTCGTTCGGTTTTTGTTTCAGTATAAATTTCATACGGATTCGCTTTTCTTTTCTCAGCGCTATCATGCAAATCGAATACACATTTGAAAGGTTATGTTTCACTGTTTATGTTGTGCTGTGTTTGGTTTGGCTAACATCAGTATTGTGTGTGCTGCGTAGCTGTGAACATGGAAATAAATAACATGCATTATCGTCACATTTTGCTCTATTATTTTAAAAAAGGCAAATGAGCTGTGGATGCTCATAAAGAGATATGCCGTGTATATGGAGATGATGCCTTAACAGAACACGCATGTCAAAAGTGGTATGCCAATTTCCGTTCTGGAGATTTCGACGTCAATGATGCGCCCCGCTCCGGTCGCCCGACCGAGATTAATTCAAGTGACATTAAGACTATAATCGAAATAAATCCATCCCAATCGGTACGAGAGATTGCTACGACATTGAATATATCCCACACAAGCGTAGAAAAGCATTTGCACCAGCTGGGATACATTTCTCGGCTTAATGTTTGGGTGCCACATCAATTAACCGAGGCTAACTTGACCACATGCATATCCATCTGCGATTCGCTACGGAAACGCCAAGAAAACGACTCATTTTTAAAACAAATGATGACGGGTGACGAAAAATGGGTCGTCTACGATAATGTAACGCGAAAAAGATCATGGGGGCACGGCAGCGAACCACCGCAAACAACCTCGAAGGCGGGATTGCATCCGAAGAAAATAATGCTCTCCATATGGTGGGATTTCAAGGGTGTCATCTATTACGAACTGTTACCGTCAGGCAAAATTTTTCCGTCAGGCGATTTTTTCAACTGTATACTGATCGCAATTGACGAAATTGAACCAAGCAATCCGCACAAAACGTCCAGAATTGGCAAATCGCAAGGGTGTCGTCTTCCACCACGACAACGCCAGACCTCATACGTCATTGACCACTCGAAACAAATTCCTTCAGCTTGGCTGGGATGTTTTGCCTCATCTTTCGTATTCACCGAATCTTGCCCCTTCGGATTATCATTTATTCCGGTCGCTGCAGAACTCTATGAACGGGAAAATCTTCAAGGATGAAGAGGCCGTTAAAAACCACTTGGATTGATTTTTCGCCGATAAAGCCCAGACGTTTAACGAACGCGGCATAATGAAGTTGGTGGAAAGATGGCTAGAGGTCATCGATAAAGATGGCCAATATATAATTGATTAAAATTTATCTTGTGTATCAAAAAATTGTGTTTTATTCTACTCTAAAAAACCGAATGAACTTATTCGCCGACCCAATAAAATTATGTACGATTATATACAAGTTATATATAATTATGTATGAATAATATACAGGGTGAGGGGTTATAAGTTTACAACCCGAAATGTGAAGGTAGATTGGGTTAAGACAAACATAAAAGTTCCATACCGTTTTGCGAGATTCGCAATAATTATCGAGTTATTAATGACAGAAATCTGAGGAATGGGAGCGCGCCGACATAGATGATTGGAGAAGCCTTGCAGCTACTCAGGTCCACTCGACCTAGCAACTGTTGGCGGCGTGCGGCGAGACGTAGGTCCGGCGAGATAAAATAACGAATAGCAGCGCACTGTCTTTCCCCTCGCCGCGCACCGGCAACAGTTGCTGGATCAACTGGGCCGCGCTGCGGCCTAAGCAACTGCAACGCTGCTCGGTCGCCGTGCGCTCGGGATAGCACTAGAGATGTCGCTTCCGAACGACATCTCTCAACGTTATCTGGGGAGGGGAGAGTGTCGTGAGCGTGGAGCGTCAGATAGCTCAGTGGTCTAGAGCAGTCGCCCGGCAAGCGAAAGACCCGGGTTCAATTCCCGATCTAGCGACTACCGCGCTCTCGATATTTTTCTCTCCTCAGAACGAAAAATGAGATGCAGGTCCCGAACGCACGGCGTCCCGTCGCCACCTAGTACGCCCTCCTTCTTTCATTCGGTTGCTAGCAAACAAAAATATGTTCATATGATAGATATCTCGTTGAGTAAAAAGAGGAAAAAAATAGTTTCATTCAACTAAATATCGACGTTAAGGGCTATAATAAATGTGATATTTACTTTAATTATATCTAACAACATTCTTTTCGGTGTAGATACGTAATTGTGTACGATCCCAACAAACACAATGTTACATGTAACATATCTGTCAATTGTAATTTCCTACTCGGTAATGTAACTGTTATATAACATACACGTTATATAACAACTACATTGTTGAGTAAGAAATTACAACTAACAATTATGTTACATGTTATATTGTGTTTGCTAGCATTATTATGGATATACAGGGTGTCTCAGAACTTTGGCACACGGGCTCCGTAGGGATATAGAGCTAAGTGAGAGGAACAAAAAAGTCTTCTGCCATAATGTGAAAATCGTAAAGATATTTTTTTATTTGTAATAGCGCAAAGTTCCACGCCCAGCGCGGCCTATAGACACTCCGCGGCAAGCTGTGTGCGTGGAGGCTGAGCGGTAACGCAGCTCGCGCTGACCGTCGCGCGGCGTCAAAGCGCCAAGACGCCATCGCGACAGTCAGCGCGAGACGCGTTATCGCTCAGCCCCTACGCACACAGCTTGCCGTGGAGTCTATAGGCCACACTGGGCATGGAAAACGCCTAACTTTGCGCTGTTATAATTAAAAAACTATTACGATTTTCACATTATGGTAGAGGATTTTTTTGTTCCTCTCACTTAGCTCTATGTCTCTACGGAGCCCGTGTGCCAAAGTGCCTGAGACACCCTGTATAATTTTTTTTCCTGGGACTATATCTTGTGAATGCTAAACGTCCACACGTGTGTCTCTCAATATGATGGTTGTATTTATTTGTAGGCAGCTATTGGCATTGCCGACCTTTGCGTTAAAGCGATGGAGGCTGATGGTTGCACCGAACAACAAGCGCGTAATAATATCTGGATGATGGATATCGACGGATTACTTGTAAAGAACCGGCCGGAAGGTAATCTGGAGGGCCATAAAATTTGGTACGCGAAAGAACACAAAGTGATGAAGACATTGATTGAAGTCGTAAAGGAAATCAAGCCTACCGTCTTGATAGGTAATTAAGATTTCCTTCTTTACTCAAAGAGAGTAGATCACAGCACAAAGACCAAATGTTTCTGCAGGTGCCTCAGCTGCTGCAGGTGCGTTCACCCCCGAAGTTTTGAAAGAAATGGCAAAAAATAACGAGAGACCATTGATCTTTGCTCTGAGTAATCCAACCAGTAAAGCTGAATGTACAGCACAGCAGGCATACGATCATACGGATGTATGAAGATGACCTAATTAATAATAATTATAATATAATTAATGATAATTTAATTGAAATAATACATTATGCTAATACTAGATTCCCTCTCGATGAACTGAACTGACTAATTAGATCAAATTTGTTTGCTTTTAGGGAAGATGTGTATTCTCTTCTGGTTCACCATTCGGTGAAGTAAAATATAATGGAAAGACATATAAACCTGGACAAGGTAATAATGCATACATTTTCCCCGGCATAGCTTTGGGCGTTATTGCGACTGGATGCCACCATATCACGGAAGATCTATTCCTAATTTCGGCACAAGCTGTAGCCGATCACGTGAAAAATGAGGATCTCGAAAGAGGAAGTTTGTACCCGCCGTTGAATAACATTCGCGAATGCTCAATCGACATTGCAGTTAGAATAGCAGATTACGCTTACGCTAAAGGTAACCGTCGCAGTTATAAGACTTGAAATATTACTTTTGCATAATTTGCTATGGTTAGGTGTTATTTACAATGTTGTTATTATTAATTAATTTTTCTTTTTTAATAACAGTTTGATAACGTGTTATTTTTCACTAGTAATAGTAATGATAATTAACTAGTAACAATAATGTAATTATTGTTACTAAAAAACATTTTTGTGATAACGGCAACAGAATGCCATAATTCATTACTTTCATCATCTTTATGCATATATTTTTTCTGAGTTTCTTTGAGTAAAATTTTATTCAAAATTAAAGAAAGTTTTGAGTAAAATTTTATTCAAAATTAAAGAAAATTTACTTAGAGACAGTGGTTAAAACATTGTTATTCGGAATTGTAACTAACAAGGAAGGGATCGGAACTGTTCCTCACCATTTTGATGAGCTTTGAATATGTTGTAGAGCAACAAAAAATATTAGACATGTATTTTTTTTTATGGGTATATCTCAAGATTTGGAAATTTAACGGACCTGATTTTTGTTAATTTGATGATTTTGAAATTTTCAAAAATCGATAAGTTAACACAAGTTAACACACTATTATAACAATATATTCTTGAGGCCAAATAGAGTAAAAAGGTCTAGTACTATTTTTTCTTTCGACGAACAGCGAGGTATCGTAAGTTAAATATTGAAAAAGTTATCAAGTTTTTCTTAAATATCTCAAAAAATATTAGGCAAATAAAAAAATGTTTCAGACAAAAGTTGTTCAAATTAATTGGTAGAAAAAGATGATGTAATAAAAAATTGGGAATTTTCATTTAACCCTTTAACGCCTACTGGTAATTATAGTTACCAGAAACCGCATTTAAGAATCCAGAATTTAGTCAAAAAAGGAAATATTTTCGTTTTCTTTGCACCACTGTAAAGGTGAATTCTTTTTCTAAAAAATGGTATATAGATTATATGTAGATTCGGTTTAGTTTGTTTTTAGCTCAGTTTTAATGATAACATGTTTTGTCAAATTCCAAGTAGACATAGTTAGCATTGTTACTGAATCTGACATCTAGAAGTGCACTATAAATGAATAGATTGGTATCTGTTATAATTTTATACATTTGGAAGCTTTCTCAGATGCAAAATATAAAATTAAAAGAATACAGAAATTCAAAATGACGAATCCAATATGGTGGACACGAAAATCAAGAAATTAACCTATTTTCGTGAAACCTGGTGACCTACAGTTTTTTATGCGGCGAAAAATGAAGGGACAATTGACTATCTAAATGGTGATCTATAAGATATTCTTCTGAAATAGTAAACTTGACGTTCTGAATGATAAAAACTTCACTCACAAATATAGTTTCAGCTCAAAAATGTCAAGCTGACTATTAGAGTTATGTCGTGTAGATTATCCTTCATTTTTCTCTGTGTAGGTTGCTCATTTCGTATATGCTTTTAGGATCCAAATCATATTTACCAATAAACAAAAAACGAACGATAAAAAAACCAATATAAAATTCTGATATTTTCTTTTGGTTATCACTACTTATAGTCTCAGTTCAAAAAACTCAAATTTTATTCTTAAAACACTTATAAAAAAGTCGGGCGTTAAAGGGTAAAGAAAATTGATAATCAGTGAATATTTCTAAAGTGGTGCCATCTGTAAACAAAATGTTAACGCTGTCTTATGTCCCCCTTCAAACCAAACAACTTTTGTTTAAACAATTCTTTTGTATCTTTAATTTTCTAAGAAATAATTAAACATATCCGCTTAAATCAGACATACAGTGGCGTGCAAAAGTTTTGAGCCATACAATTATTATTATATATTCATTTCATAATGAGCACTAAAAACTTTATACATATATATAAACAAAATGTATTTATTTATCCTACAATTATGTAAGCTTTACAAACTCTTAATAATTCTAAATACTTTATTTTTATACAATGTCTTATTACAAATAGTGCAAAAGTATTGCACCAAAAAGTTTTCTTATGTATAAGGAAAATATATTATTGAAAAATAATAACAGAAAATGTTGTCAACGTTTTTTTAAACTTAATACTTTGTTGCTATGCCTTTACAAGCAATCACTGCAGCATAATGGCGAGGCATTGATGCTATTAAATTAGAAATGCGATCTTGAGGTAAATTTTGCCATTGAGTTTGCAAATCTTGCCACAATTCAGCTGTATTGGAGTGTTTCTTATTTCCTGTACATAGTTTGCGTTCTTGCCACAAATGCTCAATAGGATTCAAGTCCGGCGATTGCGAAGGCCAGTCAAGAATTCGCATTTTTTTCATAATGAAAAATTCTTTTATTAGTTTTGATGAATGTTTGGGTTATCTTTTTAGTTATTTTGTTGGAAAATCCAATCACGTGGCATGTTTCGAGTTGCATATGGCAGCATATGCTGTGTCAATATATCTCGATACATTATAGCGTCCATAGTACCCGTGATCTCAACCAATGGACCAACTCCATTATAAGAAAATGATCCCCAAACCATCATATTACTTCCACCATGTTTTACGGTAGGAATTTGATATCTTGAGTTATATCTTGTGCCTTTTGAACGTCGTATATACTTTCTACCGTCACTTCCGAATAACTGAAACTTTGACTCGTCAGAAAAAAGTACTTTTCGTCAATCAACTTCAGTCCAATGTTCAAATTTCCTTGCAAAATCTAATCGAGCTTTCTTATTTTTTGCACTAATTAATGATTTTTTTTACACCAGCACGTCCTAAAAGGTCTATTTCCTTTAGACGTCGAGATATTGTACTTCGACTAATATCAGCAAGATTTTCTTCTCGTAATTCTCGAGAAATATCCATGGTAGTTTTTCTAACATCTGCTATCGACTTTCTTTTAATCATTTTAACGACGCGCTTTGTAGTTTTGCGAGATCTACCATTTCGTGGTTTATCAGCTAGAGAGTTCGTCAATTTATATTTAGCAATAATCCTATTTACGGTACTTTTATCAATTAATAAGCAATTAGCAATTTTGCGAGAAACCTTTCCTCGTTGAGAAAGATTAATCACGGCTTCGCGTAACTGAAGGCTTGTATGTTTCGGCATTGCGGTAGACAATAGACTGAACCTTAGTTAAAGCAAATATTTACAAAGAAGTTTCATAAGAAACATAACCGAGCTCATAAAGTCACAACAAGAATACGGCTCAATACTTTTGAACACGTGTAAATATTATATGACTAAATAAATAGAAACTATGTAATTTCAAAATTTTGTAACTGTACTATCATTTGTAAAAATATTATGTCAATTATTTGATATAATTAATTTTTATAGCAAATCAATATATTGTCATGTATCTTAAAAAGACACTATGGCTCGAAACTTTTGCACGCCACTGTATTTATACGTTCATCTATCTAACATCTTTATTTCGTGTAATAAGTTGCGTATTGTGTCATTAAGATTAATTCTCTTGCATTTTGTATGAGAAAGTATGCATAAGAGACAGTTATTGAATACAGCGCAACTGAAAAGAAATAACAGGACACCTATCTACAAGCGCGGCGCCTATAGCACGATGATATCATCTCGTTTTTCTAAAAATTAATCATGACTATATTGTATTATTATATATGGATGGATTCGGCATCAAATGCTCTTTAATTTTTGTCCTTATGAAATTTTTAAATTTTGCAAAATTGAAAAGGGGAGGAGAGGTTGAAAATTTTGACACTTTTACAAAATCTGACTAACCGTTGCAAACAGTATAAAGTATTGTAAAACTTTTGTAGGAAACATTTTTTCATATATCTCGTATTTCAAAAGATATTTACAAAAAATGAAAATTTTGGTCTCTTTTAGTTTCACTCTCTAAACCTTGAGATATGTCCATTAAAAAAAACATGTGTCTAATATTTTTTGTTACTCTACAACATATCCAAAGCCCATCAAAATCGGTGAGGGATAGTTCCGACCTTTTCTTTATAAGTGGAAAAAGAAAATTTTACTCGAAGTAGATATTTCATTTAAGCTTAGAATGTATCCTGGCTCTATATGAGTCGGAATAACCATATAAGTGAATATTTTAATCGATCATAAAGTAAATTTTTTGTGCAATAAAACACATTAGATTCATTCAAATAAAATTTCAATTTTTATCTAAAATAAAAATATTTACTCGACGGTTCCGAATAAAGAATTCACTCTACTCATGGTTGTAACTCTATTTTTCGAATACAAAGTTTTTAAAAGTAAAATATATATGCATGATGTATGGAATATGCAGCAACGAATCATAAAAAAGGATTCTTCAAAACTTAGTGACAAAAGTGATGGAAATTGCAACGAGTCACTTTTTTTTTAGTAAAAATAATTACAATAAGTTCTTTTTTAAAATAAATGACACTAGCATATTACATTTTCTTTTGCAAAGGGTAATGATAATAACGATAGCGAATTATTTTTGAAAATAACTTTTGCAATCGTAATTTCGCTTAAAAATTATCTGTATTATTTATTGTTGCATTTACAGGTGGTTTAGCAAGCGAATATCCGGAACCAAAAGACAAACGACAATTTATTATGAGTAAAATGTATGATGCCAATTATGACAGTCCACTGCCAAGCTTTTATGAATGGCCAGGTGATTCTGCCAGGCCTCGCATTTTACCGGAAAAGTAAGTACGATAAAGTTTCACGATATCAGAACAACGTCAAATTTCCTAATCATGATACATCATATCTGTTAATGATATATGAGATACATCACATTTGAAATAAAAAAAATATAGAATCGAAGAATTAGATAAGTTAAAGTTAGTATTAACGAAAAAAAATAGTATCGTAATAGCTCTGTAGACAACGCAAGATTGATAGTAGGATTAGTAATGAATTTGATTGTAGTGAATAAGAAATCTTCATGGGATTTGTTATATTAAAAGTTGTCATATTAAAAGAATATTCGTTTAATATAACAAACTCTGCATGTTGCTTTTGTATTTATTTTTTTTTGCTGTTTCCCCTTTCTTTATAAACTGATATTTAAGAATATTACTTTGCAAATATTTGCAAACATAATAAAATTGATGTGCTTGATTTTTAGAATCGTGCTATTCAACTTGTGTTTTTTGTATGGCTTATTTCTATAGAAATATCGTTAGTTATAGTGTAGCGTTATTTGGATTTACATTTTATTGAGCATAAATATTTTATAATAATCGCTGCGCTTCATCCATATAATATATCCATTTCCTTCACAGTTATTCCTCTCTCGATTTACTATTTTCATGACAATACTTTGATGAAAACCGCTGAAGCTTAATTAATCTTTTTCAGAGACAGAATAGAAATCCGTCATGATTTAAAACATCTGTAGTGGATTTCATCGACCAGAAATATAATTGAAAACTATTTTTCTTACATTTAACAATCAAAACCTTATTTCTTCAGTTCATAATCAATGTCACTTCAAACATACACAAACAGCAAAATGATTTGCAAACAATTTTAACTGTAAGGACAATTATTTCATCACATGACTAACGTCAGAGTTTGCACTATTACAATTTGCACAAAGTGCTAACATAATACACGACGGTATGACCCAATCATTGACAACATTATCGTTGCAATAAATTAACAATATAATCTTTTAATGTATATTTTCGTCTTGTTCGTCTTGTTCGTAATATATATCAGTATTAAAAGTAACAAGTATTGCCATAAGAATAACAATTAAAAGTAACTAACAAAGAATATTTATATTACGTAATTTTGTAAACATATATTGCATTATTTAATATGTGGTAATCCATATTGAGGAAGATATAGTATATAAGGTGTCCCATTTTAAAAAACGTACCTCGATAATTCTTCAACGAAGCATTTTCAACAAAAATGTTTCGGACAAAAGGTGTATGATTTCAAGGGGGTCATAAAACAATTATACTACTTTGTTTACAAATGGCATCACTTTCTAGATATTCACTGATCATTATTTTTCTTAAATTGAAACCCCAATTTTTTATTACACCGTCTTTTTCTACCAATTAATTTAAACAACTTTTGTCTGAAACATTTTTTTATTTGCTAAATATTTTTTGAGATATTTAAGGAAAACTTGATAACTTTTCCAATATTTAATTTACGATATCTCGCTATTTGTCGGAAAAAAGTGACTTTTTTGCTCTATTGATCTCAGGAATATATTGTTACAATAGCGCCCTGATTTTTGTTGAATTTGATGATTTTGAAATTTTCAAAAGTCAGTATGTTAACAAAGTCAGGGCGCTATTATAACAATATATTCTCCAGGCGAAATAGAGCAGAAAAGTCCAGTGCCACTTTTTCTTCCGACAAATAGTTAGTAAATAGTTAATAAAAAATTGGGGTTTCTATTTAAGAAAAGTAATGATCAGTGAATATCTCGAAAGTAGTGCCATTTGTAAATAAAATAGTATAATTGTTTCATGTCTCCCTTGAAATCATACAACTTTTGTCCGAAACATTTTTGCTGAAAATGCTGTGTTGAAGAATTATCGAGGTGCTTTTATTTAAAATGGGGCATTCTGTACATATATATGTCAGGCACCGATAGCATCATTAACTCTACTTAAAATAATAATTAGTTTCTAGAATTGTCACTAGCTTTGTTCAAATGATCCGATTGATCATAGAATATTAAAAAATGTTTATTTAGGTTCCCTGAATTCTTATTTATGACGATAATAATTCGTAATAATGTCTTCCAACTAACACAAAAACATTTGATTCAAATCCTTGTTCATATATCTGGAATATTCATCCTAATAAAGCAAACCATGATACAAATATAAGTTTCCTAAAGTCCAATAATAGCATGCTTTTGGTTAAAAAATGTTTACTTTGCAATATCATCCCAAACAATATATTGTATTAAAAAGCTTTCTCAAAGATATCTCATTTCCAAACTGATAATTTAAAAACACTTCAAAAACGTGACATGAAAATATCAATATTATATAACGCGCCATTTTTTGAGAGCAGAAATTCGGTAAACACTAAGTAACAGTAATATAATACTGTTACTTACCCAAGATAGCAAGATGACATTTAAAGACGTCATTATGGCATCATTAAGACGTTTGTGAACGTCATTATAACGTCATTAAAACATCATCTTGCTACCTAGGTAGTTTTATTGGGAAAATATCATAAAAATGAAAGTCTGAAAGGTCTCTCAAATTAGACGTCTTTAAAATATCCAAAGTATCTTAACATATAAAGTTCTTATGTATGAGGTGTAAAACAGATCATTTGTGTGTGTGTGTGCGTGTGCGTGTGTGTGCTCGTGTGCGCGTGTGCGTGTGTGTGCGCGTGTGCGTGTGTGCGTGTGTGTGTGTGTGTGTGTGTGTGTGTGTGTGTGTGTGTGTGTGTGTGTGTGTGTGTGTGTGTCAAAATATAGACGTTTTATTTATGATATCTAAAAGATAATATTGTAAATGTTTCTTTAAAAAATAGATCGTTTCATTATGTAATAAATATTTTGAATTTTATTATTATTTTTATTACTCAAACATAATTTACTAATCATAATTCGAATTATTATGAATAGAATAGTATATAAAACAATATTATTGTTATGTGTTACAACTATAAATACATTGTCATTCGTTGTAATCTAATAAATTAACTGCATATCCGGTAAACTAACTATTAGTAACATAATATCAGTGTTATGTCAATTTCTCACTCAACAATGTAAATGCAATATAACACACGTGTGTTATATGCAACAATTATATTATTAAATGAGAAATTATAACGTGGATTGAACGTTGGGAAATTATAACGTATGTGTGTACCCACACGCGCGCGCGCACGTACACACACGCACACATATACACACCTCGATTTATTTCCTTTTTTGTTATTCTGTATTATCATTGTTGTAGTGCTTACATCAACACTAGCATCAGTACATAAAATTTTATAAGTTGAATGGATAAGTTGGATTTCTTGAAAATTTTACCTTTATGGTATTTTTATGATATAACATCAATGGATTTCTGATTAAAAATATTATAATGCTGTCTGATTTCTAAACTATCAAATAATGTAGTATACATATGGAAGGTTTAGAAACCGGACAATATTAAGACATTTTTCATGGGAGATTAAACAGATATCATTTAGAATTATATAAAACCGATATTTTCCAGAAATCTTTCAAATAAGATATCTTAAAAAGCTGTCTTAGCAAATGCCTCTGGTAAATAATGATTATTAAATATTTTGACATTATTTTCAAAATATCTAAATATTTTTTTTTATTTCTTTTAAAATTTTCCTTCTTAAAATTATAAATGAATATATTATACATAAGTGCCAAGATTGATTGAAAATCGGAATTGCTTTTTTAGCGATAATTATTTACTTGTAAATATACATTTAGGAAAAGCATAATTTTTAATTTATAGTATTTTCTATGAATCGGGGTTAATGTATAAAGTATCATATTTTAATTAATCCGATCAGTTCTCTTCGAAATTATCAATGGTTTAAAAAAAATATTTTAAATGAAAATGAAATGATTTTAAAAAAGACAGTTTTAGCCACTCTTTTTTTTATTTTGTAATAAAGGCATAAAAAAATATAAATTACTTCCATCTCTTTTTAATGGAACTGCTCATTTTCAAACACTTACGCTTGTAATCTCCAAAATTACAATTCAAAATTACAATTGTTGAAAAATAAATGTTTATCGTTTATACTTAAGTGCGTACCCGCAGACATTAATACTATCCTAATAATAGGATTCATTTTTAGAGGATATTGATCTTACGATTAAATACATCACATATGTGATTCCAGCATGATGGTGTTCCTGGTTCGTTAACACAAATTGTGTTCGTGATAAATAATTTTCAGGACGTTGAATCGGGCTACGCAGACATGTAAATTGGTCAGCACGCTCGCTAAATCTAATTCCGTTAGATATTTTATGGAGTTACATAAAAAATAAGATTTCTCAAATTGAACCCACAACACCAAACAAGAAAAAAAGAATAATAATTGCATGTTGTAACATTCAGCCAAATACTTTATCAGAGATCTAAAGGTCATTCAGAAAGCGAACTAGCATATACGTATATTAAATACGTGCCCACGGGCACATATTTAACGATAAGTTTTTGTTGTTAAACTTTTTTATGTCTGTAACTTTATGTGTCTATGATCATTGTATTTGTTTTGAAATGAATTACAATCGGAAATGTTTGAAAATGGGCAGTTCCATTAAAAAAAATGAAGATGATTCATCTTTTTGGTGCTTCTACTTAGAAAAGCAACATGATCAAAATACGTCCTTTTGAAATCGTTTCACGTTTATCTGAAACATTTTGTCATCATCAAACATTGTATCATCAATAATTTCAGAAAAAATTTATTGAACCCAGATAGACAGACATGTTTGCAATAGCATATAGGCATTCAACATACATTTTATGATACCATTGGAGCGGCATAATTTTTTGTAATATGCTTATTATAAGAAATACGTGTTTCTTATCTCATACTTTGCAGCAAAATAGCAGCTTGTTATATTCCTTATTAATTGCATCCTTTTGCCGACATACGTAGTATGTTACTGCAATTTTCATGACATCAAATTGCTTCTTTCATATATTGCTACAATGCTTCTTACATGAGGACGCATCTTTGCTTTATTTATTTATTTATTATTCTTAATATTTATTATTAGTATTTATACTACTAGTATTAGTATTTATACTATTTTTTTAATTCTCAAATCTTCTTTAGTCTTTATGCAGACAATATGCCAAAATTTGTTTATCTGAGAATTAATTAAAATCTAAGGACACCTTATACATATCTAAGAATGGAATTGTGCGCGGATGAAATGAAAAATGATAGTTATAAATATATTTGAATCGTTTCGCAATATATTTCTGAAAATATTTTATGAGGACTACGTAATACCAAAATAAAAAAATAATAAGATTAAGATATTAATATTAACAAAAATATTAATATAAATGTAATATGTTGTACATATGTTATCTAATGGTTATAACATTCATATGGTTACAATAGTTAAAATATATCACATTACAATATTATATAACAATTACATTACTGTGAAAATTTAATAAACAATCTGTTTTAATAAACCAAATTTAATAAACAATAAACAATCTGCCGACAGATTAACGATAGATTCGATTAGGATTTGTCGACAGATCCGTAGACATCTATGCTCGCATTCGGCTCATGTTCTGTCGACAGAGTTTGCTGACAGAATCTGACAGCAGACTGGTAATAGAAAACGAACAGAATCTGTGTTCTATTTAAATATATTGGAACGACAATTATATACAACATATCTTGCTTGGTTTCTGCCGTCAATCTATCATCACATTCTGACATCAGATCCTGTGTATTTCTGTTAATAAGCTATTGACGGAGTCTGCAGCAGATAATGCAAAATCTGTTTTTTATAGATATAGTTATCTGGAAAATAATAATATTAATGTAATGTTACTTTTCGTTGATGTTTACTGATTACTATTTTACTATTATTACTGTTACTAGTAAGTCAACTCCCGACCTCCGAAATGTTTGCTATCGAATATCCGCACTTTTTATGATTTACAAAAGAAGATACATGTAGTTCCTCAGAAGCATAAATGACTTACTTTCCTCAAATTAATGGAAATGGAATTACAAAATGTTTATGTGTCGTGTAAAACGTTTGTTGAATTAATAATTTTAAATATGTCATAATCATTGTCATCTTTTCAAAAATTGCATGCTGCATATTATACAATATTTAAATCATAAGGATATAATATGAATATAAAACACTATAATTATCTGAATTCTATAATTATCTGAATTATTATATCCGAAAAGAGAAAAATCCTTATAATTTGACATGAATGTAATACATACATATATTACAATAACAATAATATTATTTAAAAGGGATAATATTAAATTTATATATTTTAATATATTGTTAAGTCTAACCAAGCGATTGAAACTATACCACTTTCAAGATTAAAGATTATTCATATACGTTAAAGATTTATATACGTTTTCTTTTTTATCTTTACAAGATACATTGTCTGTGTACATAAATATAATTATTTACAAAAATATTATTCATTTATATTGCTTGGTTAAACTTACGAACTGCTGTTTTATGACTAATCGTGTTTTTCTCCCAACAGATTATGACGGGTTGGCGAATCTAAAGATGAGACGACTACTTTAACATATACATAAATTTGTTAAATTAATTTCTGGCAATTAGAAAATAATAAATATTAATATTATTGCGTGTGGTCAAAAAGTATATTTTTTAGTATTAAGAATTGCAATTTATTAGTGAGAAATTTATTACAAAAGAAATGTTTCTGTATCTAAATTTTATTTATATCATGTATTTATTTATTTAATTTAACAACTTAGCAAACAGTTTAAACGCAACATAAATTATATTTTGATAATATATAAATATTTGCTTCGATATAGTCGAATATTTCAGATTACTTATTTTTTCAGGTTCACTTACAAAATAATAAAATTCATTAATTATTATTCTTATTGAACAATAATTATAGAATTACCTGCAATATAGTATTATGCTATATGCACTTTATATTTTAGAACAATATTTATTGAATAATCGTTTTTTCTTCATGATTAATTCATACACGATTCTATGTAAATGAACGATATAAATGAATTACCATCTCTAGCAAACACTAAATAACATAACTGTTAGTTATACTTCCCAATCAACAATATAAATGCAATATATGTGTATTATGTAAAAGTTACATTGTTGAACAGGAAATTATATAGTTAACAATCATGTAACTATCATTTGGTGTTTGTTGAAATCATTGTGATTTCTGCTTTTCTTGAATACTGACATAAAGTAAATATAAAAATTTACTAATATGAGATAATATTTTCAATCTTAGATGCGGAGATTGTTAACTTAGACTTAATTTAGACTATATTCAATTAATGACAATGAAATCATATATTCACAAAATTGTAAAAAATAAATGTCAAAATCAAATCACTGTCATAATTATCAAAATATTGTAACATCAATATCTTTAGTATTGTGTCAGAAAGTGCATCTTCCTATCTTGTAGCGGATGCAGAAAAAGCGCTATATGTCTATTAAGTGAATCTGACAAAAAGTATTTGTTATATAAAATAGGAGTATATATTAATAGCATCGACTGGATTTATATTACTGCCACAAAATAAGGGAGTTCGTAAATTTGTGCAATTTCTTGTACCGAAAAATCAATCATGCTGCTACGAATAAAAATCTTGATAGTAACATATGACAAACATATATATGTGTGTGTGTGTGTGTGTGTGTGTGTGTGTGTGCAAGATATATAGGATTCTATTAAGTTATATGTTCGATAGTTATCGTTAAATATATAAATTGTTTTCTGAGATTATAAATAAAAATGTTAAATCTTGATAGTTATTTTATGTATCGGAGTGTTGTCTACTTTATTTCATTTGATTACAAAATATAATGATATATAAATAGAGATTTATTATGTACACTTAGACATTTAGCATTAGATTCGTTTTGTACAATGGCTTGCGCAAGAAGATCCATAGACACCTTATAATTTATTTATGACGTCATATATTATTTAGAAAATCTAGAAGCGTTTTATTTTTTAATCTACGAAATGAATTTACCTGACATTAAGTGACAGGCTGATATATTAGACTGATTTGGAATTCTCTCTCAACAGTTCTTAGTCACTGTCCATACCATGACTTCCTTCACTATGGATACCTCTAAATTATAATATTGAACCTCATTTAGGATGAACCATGGTGAATCAGTTATAATTCTTAATATCTTGGATTAGAATCTTTGAATAATATCAACACTTGAGTGAAAAGCTGAGTTCTATAAGTCCAGATGGGTTTATGTATGGTTTCGTAAAATAAGAATTTAATATACTCAGAATTTATGGTTTAACATCTAATACATTTTATACATTTGAAACCCCAGCTACTTTCTCTCCGAGATATATTTTTTCCAAATCAGAAATTTGTCCACGTGAATACAGAGGTATCTTACATGTCTTGATTGTAAAACATCATCATTTCAAATTTTATTTTTAAGAGTAAGGTTGTGAGGAATCCAACGACTTTTCTTCTGTATTCTTTCGAGCTTCTTTAAATGTACAGAAGTAACCAATTGACTGACTTCCAATTCTTTAGCAAGCCTCTTTTGCGTCTGACAAGGGTTTTCGTTGAATAATTCCTCCCATTCTTCATCATCTTCAGTTTTTTGTGGTTGTCCAGAGCACTCTTCATCCTGGAGATCAAAATTTCTATCCCGAAACTTCTGGAACCACTTTTTACACGTACTGTAGGACACAGCATTCTCGTCTAAGACCGAACAAATCATGTTTTGTGCTTCTGCGGCATTTTAAGTTGGAATGCGAAAATGAGTGTCTTAAGATCAGTTTTTTCGAACAACATTGCTTTTACTGCTGTTTTTGAGGTTATCTCAGTACCATCAACTACTATAGCTCATTTTGAAGCTTAGAGATGGCGCTTTAAAACGGCTGTTCGACGAGAAAACATTTAATTTGAACAAGTGCCGTAGTCGATTTATTAGGTCATTAAGTATGAAATGTCCGATTTCGAATCAAAAATTTGATTTATTATATCTCAAACCAGAAATAGTATAATTAATCAAAGTATGCGCCTAAAGTATCGACACAGTTCTGCCATCTTAACGGTAGTTTATTCATGCCAGCAGCGAAAAAGCCTGAAGAGCGAGTGATAATGAAATCGTGGAAGGTGTTTTCCACAGCTTGTTGAGAATTAAATATTTTTTCTTGCAAGAAGTGGTCCAATGCCTGGAAGAAATGGTAGTCAGTTGGTACAAGGTTTGGTGAATATGGTGGGTGACAGAGAGTTTCCAAGTCCAGCTGCTATAGTTTGAGCAGAGAGGAACGTGAGAGCGGCCAACACGGTGTTTTCGACGACTCCGATTTTTCGCACTGGGAAAGGCCGCCATCTGCATCCATTTTGAGAGGGAAACTACGAGGTTACATCCACATTCAGATTTCGGCGGTAAAACCTGTATGTGGTGACAGTCCGTGCTACATCCATTTTTAGGCGGTTTATGTCCGTGCTACAACCATAATAGCATATTTGACAAGCACGGTCTCGCACATTGTTACGCGTTTATAACATGAATTAACATGTTAACATGTGCAAAAAAAAAGAATTGACATTGTGTATGATTAATATCATGAAGATCATACGAAGTGTCCGGTAATTAGCTGCCAACCTGAAGTGTGAGGGTAGATTGAGTTGAGACAAACATAAAAGTCCCATACCATTTTGCGAGATTCGCAATAATTATCGAGTTATTAATGACAGAAATCTGAGGAGTAAAAGCGCGCCGACATAGATGATTCGAAAAGCGTTGCAGTTGCTCAGGGCAGCGATCATGAATCTTTTCCCTAGCGTGAACTAATAAAAAGTGAAAGACTTCTGTGAATCAGTGAAAAATGAAAAATTTTATATGAATTTGTGAAAATCGAAACATTTCACACGACAATTGAGTCGTTCAACATGGCAGTTGCGCGTTCTGGATAATTCAATGAATACCAAAGAAATCAAATTAATCAAAATAATAATGTCCGTGTAGTCCGAAGGATATTACGTGACACGCAAAATCCGTTTGATATAATATCCAAAGAAAATGTTTCAAAATATGTATGTACAGGTAATATAAACCTTATGCACCGACGAGATATACTACAAAGACTGATGACCTTACGGGATTTAGCGTACCAGAGAAATTTCCCTGGTGAGGCACTCGGGTGAAAGAGACCGTCTCACATTTAGCGCAGTAAAATTTAATGGAAACTAATACTTTTCAATCCTTTTCTTCGGATCAAAAAGATTCAGAAATCAGACATATTCAAAATGTTAATACTTCTTAATACGTTTCAATTCGACATTTTATACAGAAAAGTAGGACGAAGGGAATGGGATGCGGGCAACGATACATCATGCGTCCCCAGACGTGTCAAATCGTTTATTATAAAGAAGACTTTGATACGGCAACATGTATTCGAATATTTAATCGTCCCATGGACCACTTATATATAATAAAAAAAAATTAACGCGGATAAATGAACGATTCGTATCAATTTTTCCTTTTCTTATAGAGCAATGAAAGAGTAAATCAGTATCGAAAATCGAATACCGATTAATACCATAAATCAGTGTCAGAAAATTGTCCAAGTGCAATGACAATTTGTTCTCATTTTTCAGGTACTTACCCCTCTAATCTCATTCAACAAATTAACTCGGATAAACGAACGATTCGTATAAATTTTTTTTGTCTTGTAAAACAATGAGAAAATAAATCAATACCGAAAATCAAAGACCGTTCAATATCTAATATTTTCATCAAATTAACGCGGACAAATAACAATTTGTATCAATCTTTTTTTCTTTTATAGAGAAATCAAAGACTAAATCAGTATCGAAAACCGGATATTGATTAATATTATAAATCAACGTTAAAAAATTGTCTAAGTGCAGTGACAAGTTGTTTTCATCTTGCAGGTATTACCCCACTAATTTACTCAACAAATTGAGTCGGATAAAAGAACGATTCGTATTCAATTTTTATTCTGTTATAAAGAAATTAAAGAATCAGTCAGTACCGAAAATTGAAGACCGAACAATATTTGATTTATTCATCAAATTACCGCGGATAAATGAACGTTTCGTATTAATTTTTTTTCTTATTGAGAAGTGAAAGAGTAAATCAATACCAAAAATCGAATGTCGATTAATACCATAAATCATTGTCAAAAAATTGTCCAAGTGCAATGACAATTTGTTTTCATTTTTCATGTACTTACCCCTCTAATCTCATTCAACAAATTAACTCGGATAAACGAACGATTCGTATAAATTTTTTTTGTCTTGTAAAACAATGAGAAAATAAATCAATACCGAAAATCAAAGACCGTTCAATATCTAATATTTTCATCAAATTAACGCGGACAAATAACAATTTGTATCAATCTTTTTTTCTTTTATAGAGAAATCAAAGACTAAATCAGTATCGAAAACCGGATATTGATTAATATTATAAATCAACGTTAAAAAATTGTCTAAGTGCAGTGACAAGTTGTTTTCATCTTGCAGGTACTTACCCCACTAATTTACTCAACAAATTGAGTCGGATAAAAGAACGATTCGTATTCAATTTTTATTCTGTTATAAAGAAATTAAAGAATCAGTCAGTACCGAAAATTGAAGACCGAACAATATTTGATTTATTCATCAAATTACCGCGGATAAA